TGGTGCATGATCAGATGTTGCGACAGGAAAGGCAAAAAAGTAGATTTGGGAAATGCTTTCAACCAGCTATGGGCGCCATGTTGTTTCTAGGAATTATCTTTTAATATATAATCAGGAAATAAATCTTCATATTCCCTTTTAATTTGCTAATAATTAATTAAGTTGATATATAAATCAAGAATTTTGCCGTGACTTTTGATTAAGATTAAAAGAAAAGTATACAACAATGATGATATAAACTACTCTGCCATCATCCACATGCTTAAATTACACTCTGATGTAATACTTCCTCCGGCCCATTTGATGGAAAAAATTTTGAAATTATTTGGTATCTTAAAATATAAGATATTTTGACAAAAAATAGATTTCATTAATAATGATCATTTCAATATTGCCATTATTTCATGTTAAATAAATTCCTTTACCTAGCTCTCTCTCTTTCTCTCTCTAATCAATGAAGAGTATTATTAAGTTCATAGAAAAATTAAGATTTTAAATTATATTCAATAAACTTCATCGTTATGTCTAATTTTGTCAAAAAAAAAAAACATTATAAATTGGGATTGAGGAAGCATAATTTAGCAGATACATTGCTTATGCTTTATTTTGACCATTTAATTGGCTACACTTTAATAATTAAGACAATATCTCTTTGATATATTTAATCTCTATTTTATCAAAGGTGGTCTGACAGTATAGTCAATAAAATGTTGATTTAGTTAGTAAGAATTTAATTCATAATCTATAAGGTTATAAATTCAAGTCTCACTATTAATATAAAAACTTTATTTTTAGACAATCTGTGAGTGGTCTTTGAACCGAAAAACATACTTCAACTTTAATGATAAGTTCCCTAAAATCTAATTCACATAAATTTTTTGTTATAAAATATAGAAATAGTACACAATGAAAAACTACTATATATGTCATGTAATTCAGGAGATAATTTGGTCATTCTTGAGTCTTCATCATGGCTCGTCCGCTAAGCTTTAAGGCAGAGCTTGCTTTCAGTGTAATAAAATAATGACCTCTTTGAGATATTTAATTTCTGTTTTATCAATGGCCCGTTAATTTCTATGGGTGCTATGTTTCTTATAAATTATTTTTGATAATTAGGAAAGAAATCTTCGTATAGCAATTTGCTGATAAGTTGAAATATAAATCAAGAATTTATATAAAAATTGATTAATTGACTTTAGATTAAGATTAAAAGACTATATACAAAAATGAAAATTATTATGTCATCCTTCCTCCGTGAGCTTGATACATTAAACTTTTATTTATTATCTGAATTGTAATTTAGGGGATACAATACGTTGCTCAAGCTTCTGTTCTCTTTTCTCTGATTTTTTTTTTTTCTTTGGGGATAACTTGCTTAAGCTTTTTCTTGACCATGCGTCATTGGTTAGTGGACACACTTTAAGGCTTAAGTCAAGGCTTGCTTTTTTGTTGAAGCAAAAGTGGAAACAGCAAAAACAAAGCAGACAAAACAAGTAAATTAAATAAACATTGTATTGTATAATTCCTTGAACAGTGTTATGCTATATATAAATGATTACAACCAATGCATGAATGACATGTGTACAGTTGAGAAGCATCTAGAATAAAACTAAGTTTTGTGCCATTAAATCTATTATCACCATAGTTATGTTTATAATTGTCGTGAAAATTATGTCATTGAAATTTTGTACTAGTGTGACTTTTGAGGATGAGTTTTTCTCTAATTTATATGTTTCAACATTTCCCCACGAGTCAAGCTATGATGAAAGAACAATGAGACTTGACCTGAGAGTAGGAAAGTGTGATGGAGGAAGAGGCTTGAGTTGAAATAAGTAGCGACTGAGCGACGAAACTAGTGAAAGACAGAATGAACTTGATTTTGGTATCAATAGGATAAAGCCGCATAAATTTAGAATAATCATCAACAAAACAGACATAATAGTGAGATCCATTAATTGAAACAATTGGGAAAGGTCCTCATACATCACAAAATACTAATTCAAATGGAAAACTAAAATGATGAGAGTGACAGTGGAGAGGGTGATGACTTGGATGGTCATATTGAGAGTAGCTCAAAGGCTCTGATATCATGTTGAAGCAAAAGTAGAAGGAGCAAAAATAGGGCAAACAAAACAAAAAGTATAGGCACTGTGTTATCAATGGTCCATTAATTATATGTGAAAAAAATATAGGCAATGTATTATATATACGCTGCTTTTGGGAATTTTCTTTTGATAATTGGGAAAAGAAATATACATATTTCTTTTTAATTATTTTCTAATAAGTTGAAATACATAAATCTATATCTATAATTTCTATAAGACTTGATACTATTGTTTTAAAAATTGGACTGGATGTCGAACAAAAAAAGTTAGCGGGTTACAGTTTGCATGATTCAACTATTAACATAATAATTAAATAAAAATAATACCCATATATTTATATATAAACATATAAATTATAAATTAATATTTTTATATTTCACCTGTTACTAAACAATAAGAATAAAAAGAAAAACATAAAGAATAAATCTTAAATATTAATAACAAGTTTAAAAAATTAAAGAGATATAATATATTAGGGATCATATAGATTTTTAAATCTCTTTATTATTAAATCTTAACAAATATTATCATAATCACAATTTTAGCATTTATGATTCACATAAACTGGAGCAATTTTCTTTTTTTTTTAAATCTTTCCCTGCTTTTTATTTTTTCCAATTTTCAATGGTTAGCTTTGAAAGATGGGAAATTTTTTCTCTTTTCTCTCACCGTCAATTTCAAAAGTCCCCGAGGCTCAAACTATTTATCTTCTTCTCAAGATGAAATTTTAAGTTCAATGTGCATTCTTTTCTCAACATGTTACACCGACTCTATGTGCTTGTGGCCTATACCTCGTCTCCATCATTCTATTTTGTGCGTACTTTGTGGCTTGTGCATCATCTCCATCAAAGCACCTTTTCATTTTCTTACTGTGATCGAAATTTCAAGGAAAAAAGTTGTTTTCAAAAGTGAAAAAAAATCTAGATCTAAAGCATGTTAATGTTTTAGGTTTGATTATCTTCTTCTTTCTTCTTCATTTATAGGAGCATTGAATTGTATAATTTTTTTGGCATCAGACTTGTTTGACACGCTAACAAACCGTTCTAGGTTCCAGTCTAATTCCAATTCACTAAAACTTGCTCGATGCAAAGTGGTTCAATCTGGTCCAATTGCCTGAACGGTCCAAGGAGCTTAAACGAGCCGCTTTAATGGCTGGGTGATAATCAAACTGGTCTAACCATCTGGGTTGGCCTGAGTTTAAAAACACTGCTTGATACGTTGACTTTAAAAGGAACTTAAGCTTCCTCAAATAATTAATAATGTTTTTTCATGTAAGATATGACATGTTTAGTTAGTATACTATAATCATCTTGGTCCTATTATAATATGTTTATACAATTTAACAAGGTTTTCTTGGGCCGTTATAATAAAAAGGCATTTTTATGAGCCAACCACCATTAAACAATATCAGACTTGGGTGTCAGATATTTTTTTTCTTTTCCTTTTTTTAGATGAAAGGCATAAGTAATCTTTTTTGGTCAGATGATAGATGTGAAAATAATAGCTTTAGCTTTAATTTATTCAATTTTAAATTCAATCTATGACATTTAAAATCTTCAATTAAGTCCTTAAAATTTAAATACTTTTAATTTTGAAAAAAATATGTATAGGTCCCATGAAATAGACTTATTTATAAAGAAGTCCCACAAAATTTAAAAACCACAGCTAAATCCCTTGAAATTTGAATGTAATTTAAAATTAAAGTACAGAGATAATAATACTTTTATTAAAAATACATTACATCAATCAAATAATTTACAACTGTTTCATCAATAATTTACAATTATCATTTCAACTTTTTACAACTATAACTTCAACTTTTTACATCAAATATTCAAACTTTTTAACTACTAGACATGAAGTGTCAAACTTTTTAATAATGCATGTGCTATTAGATATGTGAAGTTATAGTTATAAAAAAATTAAAGTAAGAGTTGTAAATTACTGATAAGATAGTTATAAATTATTTAATTGATATAATGTATTTCTAACAAGGGTATTATTGTCTTTTGACCTCAATTTTGAAGTACACTTAAGTCCCAAAAGACTTGGCTATAATTTTGAATTTTATAGGATTTATTTATAAATAAGTCTGCTCCATGAGACTTATATGTAACTTTTCCTTTAATTTATTTTCTATTATTATATTTTTGTCAATATCTTATCTTAAATTTGAATTAATTTTATTTCATTATTTAAGGATCTTGTAATTGAAAAATTGTAAATTATAAGAATCAAATTAAAGTTTAATTCAAAATATATTATTAATACTTAATAGTAAAGTTTTTTTTTTTACCAAAATTAATAACTTGCCTCTATATTTTGCACTCAAAAGATTCGTCCATATTATAATTTCCAAAATATGTCTTCTCCCATTATCAACTAGAAAGTTGTGCCTTTTTTTTTTTTAAATACAAGCTGAGTATAAACCACACATAGATATGGGAACGGACCCTACATGCCCAATCATATATAATCACCCTCACTTTTTTTTAATTAATAAATGCTCATATTTGTACAAAACAATAAAATTGAAGGTTGCACCATAAATTATATAATTATTGTACCAAATATGATCATATTTCAAACGGAATATCAAACAATATAAATAAACAATTGAAGGTTGCACTAAAAATTATAAACAGTGTTGCTTCCATTTGCTCGGGACCTAATCATAATTTTCACACGTATTTAAGTTGAGGACTTGCTTTTACAAGAAAAAATATTAGAGAATTCAATCGACCCAATAACTATTGTTTGATTAAACATATGTAAAACGCTGCATACATGCATAACTCTGATGAACTCTTAATGATCGATTTAAATAAATAGAAGGACAACAAAATATATATTATTAATCAATTAGTAAAATAAGATAAAATACCACCATTGTAACTACAAGAGATTAGTTGGTATGCTTTGTTCATGTTTAAAGAAATTGTCTGGATCAACTACGGTCTTCACATGAACTAATCTTTCCAAGTTGTCCTTAAAATATTTTCTTCCATAACTGCTATCAGCAATGTCTATGCTTGTGCCATTACCAGGATTGACCCCAATATCAAAATCTCTATAGTTAAGGAAGGCCTCCCTCGGATATTTCGAAACGTACGGGGCCATGAATTCATGAAACGACCTTGAAAAGTTCATATAATGATTAGTTTCCTCATATCCTTGTTTCTCCCAATGCGTATAGTATTGAATCAGAAACAAGATTCCAGCTCTGTGAGGAAATGGAGTTTCTGATGATGAAATCTCACGCATCTTTCCTCCATAAGGATTCCATTGCATCCACATGTTCTCACCGTCGATCATCCACTTCCATATGGATTCTATTGCAGTCTTTGGAATAGGCTGTTTCACATAATCTGACTTGCTTTTGAAGAACTGTGTTGGTTGTTTGTGATTTACTAGCAACTCATCAATTGAGGTTCCAATCGGGTAATCAGCCCAGAAAAGAGTTGAATTCACCCAAGGCATTCCAATGCAATCACTCTCTTTTAGACCTAATTCTGGGAAGCTCTTGTTCATCAAAGAGATTAACCTATCAATGTTCCCTAAGAATTGACCGATGAAAGAAACTCGTATTGTCTTCTTACCCTCTTGAGTTCCATTGATGACTAAAGGCATCACCCTTATGAACAGGTCGTTATCTAAATCACTCGCAACCAGCTGCCATTTGTAAACAAGATCAGTCACTCCTTCTTCCAGAGTCTTCTTCACTCTGAACACAGTGACTTGTGAAGGCACAGAAACCAACTTGATCTTCCATGAAAGAACCACCCCAAAACTAGCGGCCCCACCTCCTCTGATAGCCCAAAATAGATCTTCTCCCATGGTCTTCCTGTTCAGGATTCTTCCATTGACGTCAACAAGTTCAGCGTCAATGATATTATCAATGGAAAGACCATATTTTCTCATCAAGTTTCCATACCCTCCACCAGAAATGTGTCCACCAGCTCCTAAAGTTACACAAACACCGGCTGGGAAGGCATGAACGTTACTTTCTTTGGCGATGTTGTAGTAAAGTTCACCCATTGTTGCACCTGCTTGAACCAGTGCAGTCTCTTTTCTTTTGTCAACCTGAACAGAATGAAGATTGAACATGTCAAGTACAATGAAGGGAACTTGTGATACATAAGAAAGGCCTTCATAGTCGTGGCCTCCACTTCGAATCCGAATCTGCAGGTCGTGAGACTTGGCACAGATTACTGTGACCTGAACATGCGATGGATTTTGAGCAGCTACGATGGCAAGAGGTTTCGGTGTCGTGGGTGTTGTGTATCTACGGTTAGATGTACGATTAAGCAAGAGAGATGCGAATGAAGAATTGCTGGGTGTAAAAATCACTGTAGAGAGTGGGGTAGAGGATTGGGAAATATGGTTTGCAAAACATTGAAGAAAATTTTCAAGGGACAACGAATCTGAAGATGAATGAACAACAAATAGCAAAATTGCTAGAATGGCTATGGGAAGAGAAGGGAGTTTCATTGTTTTTATGTAGGAAAAATCTGAGTGCATTCGAATTGTGGAAACTGAGCTATTTATTAGTGAATGAAGAAAGTCATGTTTGGGTCTTTTGATAACGACCGAATGGACTGTTATGGGAGAGGATTTAATGTTTCAGATTCTGCAGAAAGCCGTTACTAATTCTGGAATAAATCCCATTGATGATTATGATATCACAGATCTTATTTAGTTTTATTTTATATATGGCATATGAATTTCTATGAGTGCTTTATGTTTTTTATGGGAATTGTCTTCCTCTTTGATAGGGAAAAAAATCTTCATATTCCCTTTTTGCTAATTACTTGAATTATAAATCAAGATTTTCTATTAAAAAAAAATGAGACACATTTCCTTTTGAGATCAACACTTGGTTGTGGGAATAAGCATCCTCACATACTCAAAATAGGCCTTTCGAAATTGGGGCACGCCTATAATCTGTCTTGAGACTTTCAATATTCGCTTTTGCCCCCCCCCCTTGGGACCACAAGTATCCTTTGTTAAGAGGAGAGACTAATCTTTCTTAAAACGTGAATGATGAAAAAAAAATTAAAAATAAATAAGTGAAGATATTATAAAAATATTATAAATTTGAATATTGAAGATATTTTACTCTCATATTAATTATGTATATTTTTTTTAATTTGTATTATTATTATTATCTTTCAACATTTATTATTATCTTTTTATTTAATTTTAAAATTTTTAGAATTTTCATGCATTTATTTTTAGGGTTGAGTTGAAGCCTATAAATTACACCTCAACTCATTTGATTTGTACGCATATTTGACTGAATAAAAATTATTGTTATCTTACCTCTCCTTTGAGTTTTCTTTTCTCTCTATTATTTCTAATAATCCCTTTATCTCTTTTCTATATTTGCTCCCCCCTTCTTCCCTGTTCTACATCAATGGAAGATAAAAAAGTAGACCCTCTTAGCCATGTTTTCTTCACAAGGAAGAGTTAAAAATTAAATTTTCAACCATTTGCTTAAGTAACAAGAATTCTTATTATTTTCATCAACTTGAGTTGGTGAAAATTTTGATTTTTTTATTATGTGTAGATTTTTTTGTTGTTGAAGAATATCCTATTTAAGGCATGGTCATGTGCTAAATATTGGCATTTGTTAAAAGGATTCGAACATTTATTCATCACATTATGAGATACTAATATTTTTCCACTATAGCCAATCCTTATTGATAAATATTGTGTGTGTGTGTGTGTGTGTGTGTGTGTGTGTGTGTGTGTGTGTGTGTGCATGTGCTAAATATTGGCATTTGTTAAAAGGATTGTGTGTGTGTGTGCATGTGCTAAATATTGGCATTTGTTAAAAGGATTCGAACATTTATTCATCACATTATGAGATACTAATATTTTTCCACTATAGCCAATCCTTATTGATAAATAGTGTGTGTGTGTGTGTGTGTGTGTGTGTGTGTGTGTGTGTGTGTGTGTGTGTGTGTGTGTGTGTGTGTGTGTGTGTGTGTGTGTGTGTGTGTGTGTGTGTGTGTGTTACATTACACATTCTTGTAAGTCTTAGAATAAAAATTCATTCCATTTTAAAAATAATAATCAAATTATGTGAAAATTCTAACACTTTGATACTAATTGTCATAACAAAATTTTAACATTTTTGTAGAAATTTTAACAAAACCTTTCCTATAAATAAGATCTCAAAAATTTTATAATATAAACACAAAATTGTATCAATCAGGAGCTCTGCTCCTTGAGCTAATAAACAACATATTAGTCAAAATAAGCTTTAACTATAGCCTATGTGGAGCAACTAATCATACTTTTAAATTGAAATATGTGAGTCATAAATATTTACATCAATAGGGAACAATATTACACAAAATCTTCACCTAATATAGCTATATGCCTTTTAGAGGTCAGTGGTAGGATTAGTGTCAATTAATGAATATGAGATCAAAATGAATTTTCAATGAATAGCATTTTCAAAATAGAATTTAAAAGAATTAAAATAATAAACTCAAATAATCATGTAAAATAATTGAAAGGATGATAATTTAACATAATAACTTTAAAAAAATCTGTAAATCATAATAATAACCATAAAATGAGAGTGAATTGGAAGCACTTTATTCTATAATGCTTAAAGAAAATAAGTTACTCACACATAAATCAAAATAGTACACTTGTTAACTGAAACCATTGGAATTTCAAATGAGCAAGTTAATTAAAATTTAAAAATTTTGAGGACTTAATATAAGAGGTAACAAACGTGGACACATAGCTCATGTGGACACAATCTACAAAGACAATACTAACCAAACGTGACTTATGCCATGAAAATAAACGTGAACATATAATTCATGAGGGCAATACTAACCAAATGCAGTTTAAAACCATAAAATCAAATGCAGGTATGAGACCTAAGAATAACAAATGTGAGGACAATGCCCACAAGACAAACTAGCTTGTTAGTAACCACAACGCTACGGACTAACGGAACTGCCATTAGCAGTAATATTCTGTTTAGATTCTTCTTAAAAATTATGTTTCAAACATGTGAGAAAAATAATCATTTCTGAAATAAACTTTTCAATCTCCATACCAAACTCGCATTAATTATTTCAAATCTCAAAACTTGTCAAAATAATACTTCATAGCTAATGCACAAACTTGTATTAATTGAGAAAATTAGAAATTCCAGGAGTTCAATAAACAAGGATGTCTTCATCAATCTTGGAAGTATATTTTTAAAAATACATGCACATATCATAATTTAATGATCCTTCATCATTATTCCATAATTTTTAGAAATAAAATAATTTAATTAACAAAGTACACAATAGTGGGGTGCTATTTACTTACTCGTCGAAGTTCTAAATTCCTAAAGATATTCTTCTTTTAATTTTTGTCAGGGTTTTGTTCTTCCACACATTGATTTGTACCATAATATAGTAGTTCACAACAAGCATAGAACAGGGGAGAATGATGGGATCTTGGTGATGTCACAGTAGCAGCAAGTGAAGCTCCTACTCTCATTGACAGCATATTGAATGGCAGAAGTTTGAAGTGGCTAGATTGAGTATTTAGAATCTCTAAGCAACAAAAAATTTTTTCTTGCTCCTCCTAGCCTATACACGAGCCAAGATGAGGGAAGAAGAAGGAAGTCTTGGTCTACCAGAGCAGCGACGAACAAAGCAGTGACAACATCCACATCGGTGACGCTAGAAAATGAAAATAAAGAGTGTAAATCAGAGGAGTTTTGGATGCTGAGTCCAGAAGTTTTTGGTCCTCTCACTTTAATGAAAGAGAATTAAGGAAGAGAGGAAAAAAAATATCTAATGAAAGAGGGGCACAATGGTAATTTCTAAAAGGAAAAAGAAGTAAAATAGAATCCCACTTTTGCATCTAGGATTCGAACCGAAGACCTTGGAATTAAGGGCCATAACAATTACCACTAAGGTAACAATTCATCCTTGATAATTTCACTCTAGAAATATATAAAAAAATATCAATAAATTACTTTGTCATCAGTTTTAAATTTAACCTAAATTCTAGGTTATCACAAAATAAGTCCTATTTTATATGGTTGATGTCATAAACTAACATTTAATTAACAATAAAGTATTTAATAAACTCATTTCAACTAAAGATATGATTCTTGTGATAAGTAAGGCAATATCAAACCTATAATTTGAAGAAAGGGTTAAAGTTTATTTTTTTTCCCTTGAACTATACCTCAAGGAGCAACTGGTGTTCTATGTTCTTTTTGGATCCAATTGACTCCTTGCTGTTAAGTTAATGTATACTTAGCAGCCCATGTGTATTGAAAATTGCTGTTAAGTTAATGTATACTTAGCAGCCCATGTGTACCGAAATATTCTACCTCAACCCACATGTACACTTGTCACCTCATCTCCCCTTCACCATCCACTTCTCTTTCCCCTTTTTATCTTGCTCTCTCATGTTTTGGTTTGTATTTCGATCAAACACACACAAGGCATCTTGTATTCCTTCTTCGTCTTCTTCTTTAAATCATCTACCTTAACAGCCACCTTCACTGTAGCTCGTCCAAATTTGGATGATGTTGAAGATGATGCAACCCCAACAACCATCTTCAAGGAAGATTTTGATTTGGCAACTGAACTAAATGAGAGAGGTCTGGGACAAAGAGTAAACCCAGTTGTAGACCTAATCTCAACCTAATAGAAAATTAGCTTCCTCCTGTGTATGAATAATCAAAGTGTACATGCAAGTCTTTGATCTCCATCTTTCTACTGTTTACCAAGGTCGTAGTGCTAGAAGTGATAGTGGAATGATAGGTTTCTCCTGAGGTGTACATGCAAGTATTTGATCCTTTGCTTCATTTTTAAAAGTCTTATTTTCATGAGGGCTTCAAATGAAGCATCATCTCTTTCTTAGTCTACTTTCTCACATTAGATATCATTGCATTAAGCTCCTCTCTAGTCACTACACCACTTAATGAGCTGAGGTGTGTAAGTGCTTTAAAGTAATCTTTGATGACCACACCCTGTCAAACATCCCTCACACGACTTGCATACTTTGATTTTCCTATAGCAACTGCCAATATATCATTCCTACCCTTTAAAGTTAAGTTTTTTTAGGCTTATTGCTCCTTAAGAGCATCTTGTAACATAAAAAAATAATCATAATTAATACATATAGTTGTCTAGAAATTTAAAGGGATAATAAATAATAATATTTCTTTCAATCTTCTTAACAATCTCATAAGCCATCTCTCTTGTATAGCCTCCTTTCTTATATTGGTATCTATATCTCCATTTGTCCTCTCAAGAGATATGGGATGGTGGAGAGAGGAGTATATAAAAGGAGTATACAAGGATCGAACTTAGGTTCTTCTTCTCTCTTTTTCTATTTTTCTTCCATCAAGATATCATCAGCCCTAACATAACCCTCACGAGACAAGGTGTAAGGGCATTGATTCCTTCGAGCAATTTCTTAGACTTTAGCTCATTTTTCTTATTAATAAA